TGTAAAATGGAACCACCAAAGACCAACCAAAAATATTTAGGGAAAAATATTCCTCAACAACGCACACATTTTAGGTACCAAACTTGTCAGGAGTAATACGCCTCATTTCTGCCAGCATCAAAGGATTAACTCTGTGTGTGTGTGTGTGTGTGTGTGTGTGTGTGTTTTGTAAGTGAGGAGAGAAGAATTTGCACTGGCAGTTACCATAAATTAAGCATACTCATTTCAAGCAAACACGACGACGCTCTTCAACTACTTTTGTTCAGCGTTATCGAGTGTCTTTGTCATGCCGGTCCGAGATATACCAGTAGTTGTGGTTGACTCAGCACAAGCGTTGACATCTTTTTGGTGCACAAGGGACTTTGTTTTGGATTTCCTGCCGTTGTGCAGTGAATTTGAGTCTGCCTGTCTGTGCCGTTTCTCAAGAGGGACACAAAAAGACAGATGTGTTTGGGAAGACATCCTATCCGTTACTGACGAGTGCAACCTATAAGGTGTGTCCTGAAAAGTTCCAGGACTTGTGTCATAAAAGATATATTTCAAACCCAAACTACAAGCTAAGAATTTTCCCTTCAATGTGGGCCAGACAATCAATCAGCAAGGCCACAGACAACCTGCAGAATTTACTTTGTTCAGTGTGCAAGAAGAGGGAAAATGTGTAGTTTGGACTGGAAATACTGGATATCTTTTCTAACATGTGTTGTATACAAATAATGCTGCTCAAACGTGTAGCGAGTATGGGTTATTCCCTTAATAGTATCCTGAACGTATCCCATAATGCATCTTGAAATGGAGCGAAAAACCACAAGTAACTAGAAGAGCATTATATAAGCACTGCACCGAAATAGGATAAGCAAAGGAAAAACACTGTATGATACACGGACTAACGGGGGAAGAGGCAGGAGCCATCAGACAAATGTTGATAAGTGCTTTGGTTGTATTGGTTCTCCAAAATTCACTCACCTTAAAACAATTCCATTGGTTATTATTTTTTTGAAATTGTTCAATATTTATTTTGGAAGATCGACCATCTTACATTGATCCGGTATGTTACATAATTAAGAAACAGCAATGACGTAATTAACAGCGATGGGTTAAGTCATGGAAAAAAGTGACCTCCCCTCGCAAAAAAAAAAAAAAAAACAACAACAAAAAGAAAAGAGTAAAACAATTGCAGACTGTTAGAGTAAGGAATGCAGAATTTACCCTGAGTGATATCAATTAAAATCAAGCCCATGCTAACTAAACTATTTGCAATATTAAATATGTTTATTATTTACTGTTTACTTCATTGGACACAAAATACAAATAAAACAAACATGAGCAATTACACGTCAATGTCGCATCTATACAATGCTGAGGTCATAATTATACATAAAATTCAAAGAGTACAGGTAACAGTATCTTTAATGTACATAAACGATCACACTGAATATTGAGGCACTTAGTTGCTAATGCGTGCACACGGTGCAAAACGAGACAATTTGTGGAGGAACTCAAACTTGGTATTGTTCCCCTTCATTTGGCAATTGGCAGGGGTCTTCAATGTAGGTGGCCACAACATGCCTAATTCAAATTACACTGCACTCATAAACTAACCACCAGAGGGTACTGGAATTGCAGAAATGAAAAACATTCTGGCCTTTTTAACAGATGTGCTACTTTTAATATTATAACATGAGAAGGACGATATTGTGGCAACTTAATATTGTGATATTGCCATTATGGTTACATCCCCACTGTGGAGTGCAACAATCCATACAGGTAATAATCCATACAGAAGGTCCTCAGTTTAGGACAGTCCCAACATATGGCATTTCAAGTTATGGAAGGGAATGTTATCACGCAACACAAGAAGACACGCTCGGTTATTGCTGCACTCACTGTGGTTCATTTTGAATGTATCGATTAATTGCCTCATGTTTTTTTTTTTACACAAATATTTACTGTAATTATAATATTTCAAGGTTACAAACGGTGCACACAAACTGGTTTGTGAAGCGGTGCAAGAACACCCAGTCAAACAACATGCCATATTTACTTCTTCTCATTGCATCGTTTTACATTTAGGCGGTGAGGACAAGCGGTTTGGAAAATGGATGGATGGATGGATGGATGGATGGATGGGCAGGCATGTATTTGGCATGTCTGCCTCCCAGTTTTGAGAGTCTGTATTTAAACCTCTGCTCAGGCCTTCCTGTCTAGAGTTTGCATGTTTTCCCTGTGCTTCCTTGGGTTTTCGCCAACTCTAAAAAACATGTCTGTTAGATTCACGGAAGAATTTAAATTGTCCACAGGTGTAAATGTTGAATGGTAGTTCGTATGAGCCGTGCCATTGACGGGCAACTCGTTTAGGATGTACCCTGCATCTACCCCAAATTCAGCAGGAATACTATGCTAGAGTTTTAAATTTATGGCCTAAGCGTTTTCATTGAAATATTTTTTGTACAGGTAATCATGACTTTGCCACTCTATCGGCTTAGTGTAGTGATCACTACGGCGCGTTCCGACTTAGGACTGATTTGGTTGATCTCCGCCGTAGGAACGAAAGTCCGTCGTAAACCGGGGACCCCGCAATTCAAAGGGGAATTTGGTGATGGACGGAATAAGGTACTTGTCAGACGTCTTCAGAATGCAACTGTTTGCCAAACTTAATCTGCGTAAGAACGACATTATTACTGAGATAGATATTTCGCTTTGTCTTGAAGCCAGTGCGCGAAAGCTTATTTCAATGTGAATGTGATTAGCATTTAAAACAATGGTGTAACGCAGCAAGAACAAAGTGTTGTGAGGACAATGATTTGATTACGTGTGCAGTTAATCCGTCGTGGACAAAAAGAGAGAGAGAGAGAGAGAGAGAGAGAGAGAGAGAGAGAGAGAGAGAGAGAGAGAGAGAGAAAACACGCACACCCCGGCGGAGGCACAAGCGTCCACCATTACGCTTCCATAAAAGGCTTTTCATGGTTGAGCTAATATGACAAAGTTTTAGGCTCAATGGCTTTACGGGAGCGTAATAATCGCACATCAGCGAGCAGAGGGTGCAAAAAAAAAGAAGTCTTTCAAATAGCCCACGGCAATGGGGAGAAAGTGAGGCCGGTGTTAGAATCAACTTTAGTGTTGTCAACTTTATAAATGTTAAGAAGGAAAAGAAGAAGCCATCTCAGGACTTACTATCAACAACCTGCCCATCTGTCCGGTTTCTATCACCGTGGCTAACTAAAAGGCGAGCTAACGACCACTAGTCATTAACAGCATCCTTTTGAAAATGGAACACAATTAACACGCTCCGAGAGCGGCGTGTTGTCTCGGGTGTACTCGTGAAATGAGAATAAAAAGACGTGTGATATTTGGCTCAGAGTACGTGTGTGAATAGCGATACACACGACAGACAATGAAGAGCGACCTGATCCAGCGGAGCTAACAAGCTAAGTTAGCCTGCTAATGAGCTCATGCTAACTCTCTGGACACTTGCCTGCCCAGACACACTGTCGCTAATTTTATTCTTCACACGGACCAGTCTGGCGTTAATTAAACACTGAAATTCGTGCATTTTGCCCACTTTATACGGTCTCGCAGCCCACGCACGGGTTAAACGTACGTCATGACTTACTATTGGAGCATCTTAAATGAAGTTTCGCCGGTGAAGTTGGTGTAAATATCCAGAGAGTTTGGAGACGACGCACGCCGTGGCTGCGTTGAGGTGTGAGTGCTCCAACTGTTACCTTGCGCGATGCTAGTAAGCTAGCTCTGAGCTAGCATCGGCGGAGAAAGTTCCCCCATGTCGCCGAGATGTGATTGTCAATACAAAACGTGGTATAAGTTGTTACCGAGGACGGATGCTTGGACTTACAGAGTCTAACGGGTGCTCAGCCGAGTTCCCCCGTGGTTCCCAGGGGGGTTGTGATACTGGTATTTTGCTGTCTTCTGCGTGTTTAAAAAAAAAAAAAAAAAAAAAAAAAAAAAAGAGAGAGAGAAAATCCAGGGGAACCCCTCTCCTCAGTCCGCTGCCACTCCGGTTGCTAATGTGTGCCACCACAGGCGACGTCATGCTGCATTCAATGACACCTCGGAAATGTTTCATTTCCAACTGCACTGGTGTTGGGAAAACATGCTGCAGAGTTGTACTGTACTGAGTTTGCTAATTAAAAATAAAGTATGCAAATAAATCGAAGGGTCATTTTCATAAAATTTCAGCAATAATGGTAAAGACTGCTGGAAAAATATCAACTTCATTTTTATGCCACCTTAAAGTTATTCGTGAGTTACAATTTTAGGCCTTAATCGTAAAGGCAATCCTTGTCAAAAGAGCGAAATGATAATAAATAGTTATAGATAGTTCAGACACTTTCAAGAATTCCTACATATTGTGTGAATGCAAAATGGCAGCTACTTCAGCTCACAGATCCCTCTGGTGTATGACAACATAATGAAGGTCTATTCGCTTTCATTCACAGTAAAGACAGCTTGAAGATGAACATTTGTAAAAGAACCTCAAAACCAAACTCGCCAGGATTGCATTAGTTTTCATGGAAATGTACCATTTAGTTAAAAAAAATAAATAAATAAAGATTTACCATCTTCAGTGATACGCGGACTGTTGATATTCGCGGGCCGGCCCAGGCACGAACACCCGCGGGAGTCGACTTTAACTGCCAATTTCCGAATGTCGTTGAAATGGTAAGTGGTCGTCAGTGCGACCTCCAGTGGACATAATTAGCAACAACAGTTTTATTGAAAAATTGCCATGCGTCCGGAAAAATGAGCCACTGCAACCCACATCTACAAAGACAAGCATTTACACACACAGTATTAATACATTTACTTAAAAGTTTAATCTTATAAATGTTTGAAATGTCCTTCAACATGGCAACATTCCACATACCTCTCGGAACACCACGACAAACAGTACATGTAGGAGTAATACCGTACCTGCTTTTGGGCCACATTGTTTAGTACTGTTTTGCATAGATATTCATATAAATAAATCAGCAATAACGAAGTTTGTTGTTTCATATTTTTTTTAATTGGAAAAATTATTGAAAACATCATGAGCATTAAAAACATATTCATTGATAGAGTATAACTAGTACTCGAGCTTAAACTGTGTCCTTAACAGAGTGCCTTAAATACCAAGCGTTGAAATCTCTACATCGTTAGGGCTAAAAATACATGACACTTTACTAAACTGACTTTATAAAATGTCGCTGTACAATAAAAGGTTTAGTGAGTGGTGAATCCATATGCACAGACTGTAAAGAACACAATTGAGTAGAACTAATCGTGACAAATTCAGAATTACAAAAAAGTATGTAAAAAAAATGGACAAGATCTGAAAGTTATGGATTAAAAAAAGTACATGATTTGTAGAAATTAATATATTATGGAAATGGGGGGGGGGGGCGCAAAATGATATAAAACATTGCATGGATGTTGGATCCATACACAATGAACACTGAACTTTCATAGAAATGCACCCCAACTCTAATTTAGCAAAAATGCAACATTCCAACTGATTAATGTGAAAATATATTACAAGAGGTCATTTTACTTCTCTATTATGGATTTTGTGCAAAAAATATCTACCAAGTATATCATACTCGCAAACCCAGGCCAGGAACTAATGTACAAGGAATCCAACATCAGTAACTTCCATGCATATGAAAAAAAAAAAAAAAAAAATGAAAGCATAATGTCAAATATTTAACAACAGATACAAAAATATGAATAAATAATTTTTTTTCTACATCTTTACTACCCTCCTGTCTACCTATCGCCCTGTCTTCCTTACAAATGAAAACGAAAGCTGGAAAATCGAGAGGAGGACTCTGGGTGAAGTGAAGTAGCTCTTAAGTGGGCCGGGGAACCTTACTGTCATGTTAGCTACAGTCCTTTGAACAGATGTTTATGATCACATACTAAAGAGCTGCTATTTGTTTTTAGAATTGAGAGGGGAGAGAGACATAGGCGGCCCATCCCTGCTCGAACCTAAACCAGCCCAAACGTCATGCCCCGATCCAACCAGACGACAACAGTAGTGGTAATTGTTTTTACAGCAAATTAAAACCGTGATAGCAGTGAACCAGGAAATTACAAAGTCACTTAGATCGGGATGAAAAATGATCTGGATAGCAACTTTTTAAACTACGTTTGTTGTGATAATGTACCAGCAGCAAACACGCACGCACGCTGTCACACATACACACACAGTCCCCCCCCCGCCCTCCCTCATAGTAGGCTTGCGAGGCTGGTAGTGGGGCCGTTCTGGGCTTGGATCTGGACAGGAGGGGGGCCGTCAATCCACTGTGAATCACAAAAAGAAGCAAATATTAGTTTATACATGTTTTGAAAGCATCGCTGAGCCTTCAATTCATATCTGGTTGACTCCTAAGCTATTCTTATTTGTTTTTATTCACATAGGAAATAACCTGAATTCATTTGTTACAGGCTCAAACTGCTGCTAACATAGAATCGTTTGAAGTAGGAATACTAATTTGTCATTCCTAACTCCTGTATCATACAAGTGTAAAGAGAATTTCAATTTCTTCTTTGCCTCCGCAAACTCAACCTTTGAGACATCTTTCCAGAAAATTTTGGTTAAACTCAAAATTGTTCAAGTTTTCATGCTTTCGACTTTTTGAGAGACTAATTTAAGCGCGTTGGTGAGAGATGTGAAGTCCTCTACGTACACTAATGAGGTTGTGCTCAGGGAGGCTGCAGGCGGCGATATGGTCTTGCAGCAGCTGTTGGGAGAAGTTCTGGTGCATCTGAGCTGCTTCATGGGCATCCATGGTGTTCCCCAGCGCCTTGTTCAAATCTGTACGTGAAAGGCACGGAGAAAAATACATTTGCGGTACGGCCAGCTTCTGTAGCTCAGATGACGTCCATGCCCTCAAAAAGGACATTCAGAACACAGATTATGTTCTGCAAAAAAATAATAACAATTGGTGAAATAAACGTGAAGTACCTTTCAACAGCGCGGAGGACCAAAGCTGCACAGACATATCAGGAATCTTGCTGGCCAGCTGCATGGCCGGTACCACCATGTTATTGCTTTCCTGCATGGAACAATGCAGAAATTGTGAAAGCCGCTTGTGGCGATTGAGACACGGTGTTTATGAGGGGAAAGTTATGTTTTTCCCGAGAGGGGGAAAAAAAGTATTGGCCATCGGAATTGTCATATGACAGCATAAAATCCTTCAAAATAGAAGGGGCGAGAGAAACGAGAATAAAAATCAAATGTGTCGCCTGTTTCTAAGAAGACATTGATTGCAAGTAACTTTAACAACCCAAAAGAAGCATCCGGATCAGTCACTGAGTCTTACTCTGTGGTTGCCCAACACATAGAAGATGTGGCCCAGCAGAACCAGCGAGCAAGCAGTTAGTCTGTTTAGGTCCTCTGCATTAGACATCTTCAGGGTTTCTCTCAAGAAGCGTCTGGAAAGAGAACAACAAGAATGTGAAAGTGTCCAGGGGTTGAGTCACGAGAGAAAAAGAAGGAAAAAAAAAAATCCTCCTACTTGGCTTCATTGTAGCGGCCTTGGAAGAAGGACAACAGTCCCCGGATGTAGAAAGCAGCGGCGCGGAGGCAGTGTGAGCTGACCAAAGACCAACATGTTATTACAGCTGCATTGCGTTTGACAAAACAAAAGTCTCTTTCGCTGCTGAACATTACACTCACTCAAAACGCTATTAGATACACAAGCAAAAATGTATATTTATATATTAAGAAAAAACAAAACCGTGGTAGGTGTCAGTCTAAAAATAAATACAATTGCCTGTTAGTTTAGAAGATCGAGACCTTCAACAGGTTCAACGTTATCTTACCTGACTGGGAAGTTGTGGTCTGGGTTTATTCTCTCCAAGAGGCTGTACAACTGCAGGAGAGAGGAATATCAAATTTAACTATATTACATGGTTTATTCCACTAATATTCTCCAAGATACCCTGAAATCTCGATTGAGTGTCATCAATTGTGCTCATCATTTATAGCGCCCTCTGGTGGGCAAATTGTCCTACTGGCAAATGTTCTCAACTGGCCTCGTCATGACTCAATTGCAATAGGACTAAAACACAGAATTTAAATGTGCAAAGTTCATTTTAGAGGATCCAACCATTCTCTGTACAGTTTGTACTCGCGGGTGTGCTGCAGGTTACCCAAGTCAGCTGACTTTGGGCGAGTGGAGCCAAGAAACTAACCTTTGAGGCGGGATGTATTAACCGGTCGGCCATTCATAAAATAATATCGTGAAAAGGAGGTTTGAATGGGATAACACACCTCCGCGCACACAGAACATATTTGACAGAGTGTTCCAACTTCGACCTTCCTGTATTGCCTCTAACTTCGGCTCCGATTCCTCAGCCTGGTACCACACCGAAGTCAGAATCAGGTAAGTCAATCAATAAAATGACTAAAGCTAGTCAGTGGAATTTTGCTGCTAGGGTAAGCTGTGGAGAAAAAAACTTGACGTGCTAGAAAAATAAAAATGACTGCAATTTTGGAATCTGCATGCCGATTTTAGTTCTAATCAGCATAAAAATCTAACCCAACAGATTTTTTTCTTCAAATTGCTCCCCAGTGTCATCGGTGACAGTTGTATGTGTGTGCCCCTCTTCCCTCTCAGCATCAGTTTGATATTTTTCTTTTCCACACTGTACACTTCAAGTACACCATGCCCTCACTGTCATACCTCTTGGTGTCTGTTGCCTTCCCGAATGTAAACGCTGGCCAAATTGGTGACGATGTAAGTCCACAGCTCCTGGTGCGTGGTGAGCTGCAACACAAAAGACACACATTTGAGTCAGCAGGAGCGGACGCCACATGGCAGCCAGGAAATCATCCAAATGCGTGCAGCAAAAACGGGGATGCGTTCACCCGCAAGGCCGTGGTAAACTGTGCCTCTGCGTTATCCATGCAGTTCACAGAGATGCAGTAGAGGCCCTGAAAGAAACATACATCAAATGACTCCTCTTTATACCTAAACACGACACCAGGGGTGCCAAAAAAAAAAAAGGTTGATATACTCACTAATAAAGTGTGGAGCTGTGCAGCATGGTTGGTGAATAACCTGGGAGACTGTTGGCAAAGTTGACACACCTGTGAGATCTGGAAGGAGAGAACGAGCGGTAGGGAGAGTTCATTTTGCAGCAATTAACTGGAACATGCAGAAACAGAGGGAGGAAATACCTCCTGTAGCGCAGTGGCCTTGTGGCCTGTGACAAGCCTGCACATGATGATGTGCTCCAGTAGAATGACTTGAAAGGTAGAAAGGATGGGGCTGCAGTCCAACACTATCAAACAGAAATCAAACGATGTAATGAGGGGCGGTCCGCTACCATTGTTTAGAAAAAGCACAACGCACTCACTTTTTAATTTCTCTAGTTGCATTAACGCCTTGTCTGTGTACTTCTGTGCTTTCTCCAGGTAACCCGCTTGCATGGAGTGCATCACTGTCACCTGTCGCCAAGACGTCATCACATCGGGCGGTCAATTAGAGGTCAAGGAAGTAAAGACGGGGGTGCTTTCTTTGTCATGTGCGGCACTTATGAAAAGGATGTCCTACTTTTGTCAATGGTTGACGGCATATCACACAAGTGTACTTCGCTAAACCTCTTTTTAGTCAGCATCCAAGGATTCTAAACAGATGTTTGTGTCATCCCTAACTGCTACATTAGCTTCTCGTCAATTATGTTCTATGTTTGTGTTATTTTTAACATTTTATATTACATTTGTGTTTGTTTGTTTTTTTTGTAGTCGCCTGAGAGATGACGCTAAAAAATGAGATCAGCCACTCATTTAAAAACAGGTTTTTTTTAATTGTTAAAGTAATACCTGTAGGAAAATTATTGCTGTCAATTAAAGCGTCTGTTAGGACTGGAGTAGACCAAATGATTTCTAATGCAACTCATCTCAATGGTAAGTGTTTCGAAAGTCACCCTGTGCTATATAAACGTTTGCGGTTAACCATCAAGGCAGCATTGGTAAGGGCAAAATAAATCAAATGCAATGCTTACCAGATAAACAAGGACACACATGTGCTCCTTAGGGAGCCAATGAAAGAGGTCAGCCGGGTTGCTGGGAAGAATCTCGTCATCGTGGAGTGTCGAAATGGTCTGGATGCACTGCTGCAGTTGCTTCAGACACGGCTTCACACTCTTCACCTGAAGGAAAGATGGACATGATCCTATCAATACATAATCCTAAGAAGACATCAGGAACATCCGCACAATCTCATATGACCCAGTACGAGGGCTGCATCTAAGATAACGAAGCAACATTTTGATTTGACACGGTCCCGAATATACCTGTCCAGCATCCAGGTAGTGTGTGACCTGCAGGACCAGGAAGAAGACCCTGAGGGACTCCTTCTGGATTGGGTTTCCCTGCCAATTCTCTACGATGGTTCCACACAGCGTCAGCAAGGGATGAACCTCGCCCAGCTTCCTCTCCATTAGCAGCAACTGTTGGGCAAGGAAAACGTCACTCGGCAAAAAAGAATCATTTAGAATCATTTGATAATTAAGAAAGGCCAGTAAGAGAAAAAAAGGGTATAAAGAACTGATAAGAGTTATAATTACAGGATTAAAGATTAAGAAAGATGAGAAAAAGTTTGACATTTTACAGAGATGAAGTAACAGAAGAAAATGTCATCATGGGGCAATCAAGAGCACATACGCGGTTGTAATTTATGAGGGGAAAAAAGTCAGACTTTTTAATAGAAGTAACCCAACCACATTGATAAAGAGAAAGTCATTACAAAAGAACAGTTGTTTAATGAGAAAAACTAAATCACACATCACAAAAATGGAATGTCTTGTATTTTAAGAAAAAAGTGGCAAAACGTTTCATGGCAATTTGATTTTTTGTGGGGGAGAGGAGTTTTATAATATATAAAGAGAAACAGCTGCACATTACATCAAAAAAGTAGTAATATTATGAGGATGAATGTTGCACATAGAAAACACAATGAAAAAAAATACTTGTATGAGATAAGTTGAAATATGAGGAAAAAGCTTCATTTTATGAAAGTCGGAAACAAAATGACGAGAAACAATTGTGATGGGAAAATAAGAGTAAAATTTTCATTGTAGTTTTACAATAAGAAAAAAAACATTTGGGACACTCGAGTAATTAAAAGAATGCTGAGTCAATAAAAAGCCTTATCCAACAGCCAAAGAAAAATAAAGTCATAATTTTACTGGAATGAAGAGGCAATTTATGACGAAGGAAAAAGAAAACTATGACATTCGATCATGTAACATGACTATTGGACTTAATTCTTCTCATAATAACCCAAACTTATTTTTGACACAACATGACTATTCATTGCCTTCAATGTGCCCTTTGTAGGCAACTCTGTAATGCAACGCCACCAATAAAAGTTTGACTTACCATGCCTTTACTGAGGAGAAACAACGCCCTTGAAAAGACAAAAGCATCAGGTCAGCATTCCTCACAATCAGTCAAGTGAATCAATATTTACGTCCACATAATTAAATGGGGCAGCGTCAATACAGATTTCACAAAAATCAATCGCGGCTAAGAAAAGATGACAAGGTTAGACATTGAACAATTACGTTCAGATTAAAATTTCTTCCGTCCACTTTGAGGATGTTTCAATGGCCAAACGACGAAATTAATCTAAAAATGTACCAGATTGCACTGGTAAAACGTGAGCTGAGACGTACCTGGTGTATTCCGAGCCCACCACGCGGGCGTACTCCGCGCCGACGCCCAGCAGGTCACACGCTGACACCAAGTCTTTCTCCAGTGTATGAAGTTGCTGGGAAACAAGAAAATCCCTTTTGTGAAAGTTCAGCAGTTTTCACCCTCACTGTTCTGTTTTGGTCTGAACGACGCAGACACTGAACGGGGATAATCCACCCGGCAAATGTCCACCTTTGGAGGTCATATTGGAGCAGTGTGGAATCATATATTCTACAGTGTCGTAGCTGTGACTTATGTGTGGCCTTAAAAGGCGGAACCGAGCCTGGGTGAGTGACATCTGCGACAGTGATGACAGTCTAGTTGGCTCTTGTTGGTTTAGGTTAGCGACTAGGCTGTTACTTTACTTTACTTCAGTCGAAAGTCCTGTATATTGGCTGATTGGAAGACGGGATGCCAAAAACACGTGTATCAATAAGTCACCTTCAAGCTAGATGTGGAGTAGCGAAGCTGACTCGGCGATTAATCTATCCAATCCCTAATTGTCCCCGCTACACTGACATGGCACCGACATTTAGAAGAAAAACAAGCGCAGTGCTCCTACTTACTACGGCAACTACAATCAATGTAACGGTGAGTTGTATTTTTGAGAATGTTTTAATTTGCTTATATGCCAGTCCATCAAAACATCACCCTTCGTAAGATCCGGTGCATGTTACAAAAAAGGTGGGAGACCAATTCTACAAAGAACTGGTCATTAGGAAGGATACAGGGTTAAGGCTTTAACTTGTATGCTATTTTGACCATTCTTTCATCCAGAATTTGATACATACCGCCAGCTGGAACAACAGCCTGCAGTGCCAGTACGGTGTTTGTTGAGAAATTTGGATGGCCTTGCGTAGAAGAGGTTTTGCAGAGTCCACCAAATTCTGAAAATGGATGAGCAGTTACAGCAGATGTGAACGAATCCGAGGTTATTCAATGCAAATACAGCTAAGTAACACGACTGCAATCAACACCACCGTGCAAGCTTGTGTACTGGAGTGGAAATCCTCAAGTACAACAATGTCTCAATATTACCTGTTGGCAGAAGAGTTCCGATAAAATGCTTGCAGCCTCAAACTTGACATCTTCGAACTGAGGAACTTGCTGGGATATATACCACTGCAAGAGAAGAAATACAAACGTTATTACAGTCCGAAGTCACCTTGTTGTTGCTCTCTGTAATATTGGACCATTTAGAAACCCATTCACAGCTAATTATGTACAGCACCTAAAAGAATGAAAGCGCCTGACTGAGGACGAACGTGTCATTATGTAGTGAAGCAAATGCAACAATTACAAAATAGCGATAAGGCGACGAACTGGCAAATGTAAACGAAGCGCTTAAAAAAGGTCTTCGGTGTTTCGTTGTTTCCCAAAGTGTGGCCTACACCCGCCGGGTCCGCCGCTGCATCCCCGCTCTTTCCTAGCTCATTAAGCCGACTCACCGCCTTCTCCAGGTGGCTGCGGGCCAGATCGCTGTTCTTGGTGTGGTGGTAGAGGACCGAGCCCAGCTGGAGATGCGTACGGGCCTCTATCCTCTGTGGCGGCTTGAACTGGAACACAGCCTGGAGACAATGGACGCAAAGGCGGATTTTGGGCGGACTGGAGGTTCGGAAATGCTCCGCAAAGCCGAGCAGGGCGAGGTACCAGCGCTCCGGGGCTTCTACGTTTGACGCCATTTTCCCTGACAACAACAAGTTTTTCAGCGCTCACAGGCCAGGCTGCTGGGTTGCCAGGTGCTGACTTTGAAAGCCCTCTGTCCCAGCTACTATGTCCAATTCGTCCCCCCTTTAGTTTTCACATTTGTACATTTCTTTATTTTTTAGTCATTACAGTTTACTTGTGTCATGAATTCACAAAATATAGCAACCTCAGAGTCTATTAGTGTTTCTGAGGAAATATATGCAGTGCTGATACAAGTCTCCACATCCCTGCTCAAAAACTGAGACCAAAATCAATCATTTCAGAAGTAATGTGACATGTAATGTGCATTTTGGGAGAATTATGAACAGTTCCAAATACCAATCAATGTTAGCACAAAAAAACCCATCTGGTTTCTGCTAAAATTCAAAAAAGCCTACTTGAACATCTGACCTTATTTGCACTTTATCAGAAGAATTTTAAATTGTGACTGGTGCATAATGACTGCCATAAAACATGAACTGAAATGTGAATGGTCCATTCTGAGCGTAAACACATCCCAGACTTGTGCACCCACATTAATTTAATCGTTGTTGTTTTTTAACATTCCCTCTTGAAAATAGTTTTTTTGATCATTTTAGTTTTTCAGAAATTGTTCCACACTTTTGCAACCCTATGTCAAAATGAATTGATAAAACTAGAAACACACGATATACAAAATACATCAAATTATAATGCAGAATCTTACGTTTACATTTTGGCCTGTTTAAGTTCGGCTGACATGCTTTCCTTTTTAAAACGCTGAACATTTAAGGGACAAATAGGCTAAGAACTTGGCAACCCAAGATTTCGGGAAGTGTCGCGAGAGTTCACTTCTGACCCATTTCGCTTGTGGGCATTGTAGTCCAAAACAGTGGGCAGTGTCGTCCCACTTTCTTGAGGACGCGGACCGTGTCAGTCAAAACCAAATAATCTGGTGCGCAGCAGCAGAGGCTCAATGCAGATTTATTTCCTCGCGTGTATCGCCTATAAAAAGGAGCTGGAGAGTTTGACACCAGACTTTCACAATCATTTCCCTGAGGAAAGGAGTCGGGGATAAAACAACACGAAAAGGCTTTGGACTTGAGTTGCAGCTGCCGAGAGAAAACAAGACGTCCATGCAGCAATGTTGCCATAACACCTGGGAAGCCCGTTAAGGTATAGTACACAATATTATAGCGTTTAGTCAAAATGCATGATGCACTGGTTACCTCGGGTTTAGATCGGAGGTGCGGTCAAACACATGTATTGTTTGTTGTTTGTCATTGACAGAGGACAGTATGTTCCAAGACCCCCCCCCCCACACACACACACACACACACACTGTTTACGTCCCCCCACTTTGAGTACGATATTGCATTGACACAGCGACTCGTGATCAATCAAAACAGGAAACACAAAAAAAGGGAACAATCTTTGCTGCAGGATATTCCTAAGCAGTGCTTATTTTTGCAGAGATCAGATCTACCTACATTGGTTCCGAATCATGTGTGTGCGTGAGCGTGACCAGCACCACCAGTGAGGGACACTCATGGCCCACCGCGTGCACGACCACCAAAGCCGCCTGCCAGTAGCCCAGGCCACGGTACTGACCCTGCCTCCTTCCAGCCAAGCTAAGGTGTGTCTCCTTTAAAAATTTAGGCCGATGTGTTACATAAGAGTTGTTTGATTCACGAGATTACTGTTGCGTGATAGTGTAAGCCTTTCGAGCATTTTCCCAATATCCTTGATATTAAATCTAAGGTCCAAGTAGTGGTATGCTCTTTGTCCTCAATACTGTAAATCATAACCACAGTGAAAAGACTGCGTCTTACTAGTAACTTTATTTCCGACGACTTGTGGTATGCAATTAAACTCTACTAGTAAATTACTTTGTTATACTAGAATCACCCACGTTTCCTATGAGTCGCCCACCAAAATGTCCATCACTGTTTTTGTCCTACTCGTACCATTTTGTTGTCCTACTAATAAGCTAAGTCATCATACAGTAGTGGAATGCACGAGTGCACAGGTGTCAAAGTCAAGGCCCGGGGGCCAGATCTGGCCCGTCACATCATTTTATGTGGCCCGCGAAAGCAAATCAAGCATGTCAAGTTCCATGATGCTTGCTAAAGTCTGAACCAAAATGTTCATATGCAATCCACAATAACAGTCATTATTCTTGACTTCGGATATTGAAACTAGTTATTCATCAATTTATTGTGCCCTCTGTATGTAATATGTGGAGGGAATTAAACATTTTTATGGTTTCCCAAAATTCATAACGGCCCTCCAAGGGAAACCGTAACTACAACATGGCCCATGACAAAAATGAGTTTGACACCCCTGCACTAGTGGACAAAAACACAACGGGTAAGATCCAGTGCGCTAGTTGACATCCGTGCGCGACTAGTATGGAAAGCCGTTTTAGCAGGGATGGCCAAACTTTTTTTGACCGAAGATAGACTTTTTAAAGCGACCAACCTCCCGCGACCAACACGCAAGCATGCATGCGGGCCCCCAACCATGCGCACGCACGCACTCCACGATGAGCACCAGCTGGAGCGGCCCCTAACATGAACGAAACTGAAACACGCAGACACACAAACCCCCGCCCCCCTCAACACACACACACACACACACACACACACACACACACACACACACACACATTTCCTCCTCCCACCCCACGTGGTCGACTTGAGACCAGTCTGCTGGCTGTCGGTCTATCACGATTGACGTATTGGGTAGCCCGTTTGAGCATTTATTAGATAGCATTGCTATCTAGCCGTAGGTCCGTGTACTAGTACGCGCTGTTTTGTCACTAGTAAAACAATTCAGCACACTAATAGAACAAGTGGGGCACACTAGAAGGACAACTACACGCTCTCACAAGCAAAACCATGCACTTGTTTAAATGTATGTGCTACTAGTTCAAGTAGTGAAGCCCTAGATGTTGACTAGTAAGATTTTTTTTTTAATGTCACCAGTAGTACTAGTAAAACACAGTTGCCATGTAGTCTACAGTTTTACCTCAAGAGCTATCTGTGCTACAAGTATGCCAAATTTGTTCTACAAGTGACGACAAAAAGTGTACTAGCTTAAGGTTGTTGTATTGGCAAGCTCTTTGTCCACACTAGTAGCACAGTGCAGGGCCATGTACTCTCATTCTAATAAAATTAGTGTCTTTCCACTAATTCTTTCTTTCGTTATTACCTTCCATGACAGTTTGATATTTTTCCACAGGGCAATTTTGGCATAGTAGTCGGACTACATGTTACTGTGCACTAGTTGACAATATTGTGCTGCTATTATTAGCAGTGGTATTTTTAAAATTCTATTACCGATTGTTAACTTCAGAAGTAACAGGACTAGTCGTGTGCCGATGTCAACTAGCGCACCATACAAATAGTGGGCTGAACAGTCTTATTCGTAATTACAAAGAGCATTCAAGTACATGTTAACGATTGTTAACTTCAGAAGTAACAGGACTAGTAGTGTGCCGATGTCAACTAGCGCACCATACAAATGTGGGCTGAACAGTCTTATTCGTAATTACAAAGAGCATTCAAGTACATGGGCGTTAAACTGGAGACCGAAAACATTTTCAAACGGCTTTTTATACTGTAACCAAGTTGGCATGGAACTCACCCATTGCACCGCTCCCATCATTATAAACACGACCGAGCCCTCAATTGAAAAAAAAATTAAATAATAATAATAAAACCTCAGAGCAACTGTCTCCAGCCGCATTTAATCCACAACTGCTCCTAATACATAATCATATTTTTTCATGAAAGACCAATTTACCATCAATGGCCCCTGGTGGGGGTTTAAAAATAATACAACACGTGCCCCCTTGCTCAGTTCAGTGTTGTTTTTGTGACACTGCCAGAAAGAGCCTACCGCAGTAGTCAGTCTTGCCTCGGCTGGCGTTTGGGGTTGTAAATAGCAGTAATGTACAAGTCGGTCCAAAACTGGGTCAGGTTACAGGGCCTGTTTGTATTTGCAAGCATTTTTTTTTCTCCTCATAAGAAGCAGTACATATTGAATGAATCATTACCAGTCACGCTGTCACCATAATAAAATCTTTATTATCATTATGTTGTAAAGTAACATCTGAACATTCTTTCGTGTCGTAGTCCGAAAGTGAAATAGGTTGTGAGCTGAAGGGAAAGCAGGCAAGCAAAATTAGCTTGCACGGTGGCATAGTGGGAGAGTATGCGTTCAGATCTCTGCCGCTCCATGTCATCTGGCTCCTTCTCACATTTCAGAAACATGCGTGACATGTTTGTTGAAGCCGGAATTGTTCGCAGGCAACCATATAGTGGAGATTTAAAATAGATACGAAATAAAGGCAAGTATTTTTGATTTTGTTGTTTTGCTTTGGAGTGTTATGGCGAGGCGAGGCAACTTCATTTCCATGAAAGATATTCTGTTTTGAGTCCGATTTTATTGTCAAATAATTCCATTAGGATTTCTTCATGATGTCAAGTACAGTATTCATCGACAACATTTAAGCTTATTTACAATGAAAAGATATTTAAAAGCAAACGAAACACATAAAAAGGAGCTTTCTACAGTACTAAAATACTGTAGAGCACAGGTGTCAAACTCAAGGCCCGGGAGCCGGATCCAGCCCACCATGTCATTTTATGTGGCCCGCGAAAGCAAATCAAACATGTCAACTTCCATGATCCTTGCTAAAATCTGTTCCGAAATGTCAAATTGTCATGTGTCACAAATGACGTTGAGATTTTCTTATCCTGTTTACACTCACTTGAACAATAATTTCAAAACAGTAGCTGATTTCAAAAGTAGTAATCCAATATTTAATCATCACATCATAATACAGTGTGATGATTAAATATTTGTTTTCACTGTCATAACAGCCCTCCGAGGGGAGACGTCACTCCAAAGTGCGCCACAGCGAAAATGAGCTTGACGCCAACTGCCATAAAGTGAAAATGTTTTTTTTTAAATGCCAGAAAGTCTTTATTCACAGGAATGGGTGTGGGAGCAACATACTTTTTTTTTAAATCATGGATTTAAAAGCATTTATACTTGGGGCTGACTTCACTCCCATTGGCACTTTATCCATTTGCGTGCAGCATAACATCTAAATGCTGATTCACCGTGTTCGCTTTGAAACTTGGGCTCAGCGAATCGACCAGAGTCTGCATGGGGAGGGATTCTGTCCGTTCGGATAGCCAGTTGTCACGCTCGCGGAAGCAATTTCAGCATCCAAAATAGCTTCTGGCCTCATTAAGTTGTGAAATGGCGCTGTTTTTCCCTCGTGAGGCCACTCTTATCACTCCTGAGTGGCTGTTTATTGGGCTCAGCTGTCCTTGAGGTGTCAGAAAAATAGGCACCTGTCAGCATTGCACGCGCTCACGTGCGCATATATGGAGTCGAATATCCAAAGTTCACACAATCTGTTGTGATTTTCGTTTTAGGATACAATATAACAGCCATTCATTTCATTGACCTCATAATGTTGTTGTTGCCTCAGCAGTATTTGAGTGTGGAAAACAAAAAAAAAAAAAAAAAAAAAAACAATTTCAACAAGCAAGAAGACTCCAGTTATTTTTACACCTTGCAATATCACAACAATGCACGATTAATGTGAACGTGATCGATACATCCTCTCAAACAGGACCTGAGGCCCACCTGGACGGCGCTGGACTCCCTGCTGTGCGGGGCGTTCGCCGGAGCCGTCGCCAAAACCGTCATCGCGCCCCTGGATCGCACTAAGATCATCTTTCAAGGTAAGGGGCGGAAAACATTCTCGAGATCAGGCTGTGTCAGGTTTAAACATAAATCATTTATTTACCGCCAGGTTTTCTTTGCTCACTGCAGAATGTTAAGTGTCTGATGTAACTGTTAACTAACCGCTAATCCGCTTAGTAGATGTTTAGCCTACATGGGAGAGAGCTGGTTGTGCTAATCATGTTGTTTTTCCATTCCTTAGTGTCCTCAAAGAGGTTCTCGGCTAAGGTGAGTTTCACTTTTATCCGCCAAAATGTTTTATTTTGGCACACAGTTGTTCAGCACCAAAACGTGATTAAAGTACATCACATATGAATACACTGTGCAAAAACTATAGCGATGACAAAAATAGCCGTAGAAGGGATACCACCTAACCTTCTCACCTTTATACTGTAGTTTGTTGTGCCTTGACATGTGAGAATACGTACAAACAAACAAAAACGAATGACTGGTTTGGTCTATAACTTCTCAAAAAATGGGCGAAAATCTTGATCATTTTTACACAAAGTGACAGCCGTTGTTTGTGAATTCTTTGCTTAGATTCAACACAAATCAGTCTCTTTAATGATGGGCTACATATATCTGGCAATATGTACCGTTGAGAGGCGGAAATTTAGATAATTTGGATATTTTTAAATTAAACAAGATCGCTAAACAATTAGCAATATAATTATTGATGAATTTAATAAATTATTTGTCGCATTTCTAAATCCGATACAGATAAAATGTCGGGAAAAAATCAAATTACTTTTTGTTTTGCAGAGAAAAAGAAAATGGATTGAAAAAAACTGAACAGAGAAAAAAGAAAAAGCAAAAACATTTTTTTAAAAAGTATAGGTGTTTATTTTTTTTTTGCTTTGTTTAAAAACAAAATAAGCAAAAAAAACTTATTCAAGTCATTTTGGTTATTAAAAGTAAAACTCGTTCAAAACATTTTTGCTGCACCTGAGTGAAAAGAAAGGGTGGGGGGGAGTTTTTAAAAAATTAATACATCAGATCAAATGAAAAGTGTCCTCAAAATTAGATGGGGCAAAAAAAAAAAAAATACAGAAAATGCAATTTTGTTGTTTTTAGATTAAACACTCTAAAATAATAATAATAATAATAATAATAATAATAATAATAATAATAACTGTATTCCAGATTTTCCTTACAGGGGCTTTGGAGCCATTCAAAATGAACACTTGGGTCTGTCTCACGATTGGGTATTGGTACAATGAGACATTTCTCTCTATTTCCTCCCTCCCCCCTTGTAATGCGCCCAAACAGGAAGCATTCAGGCTCATCTATTGCTCGTACGTGAAAGATGGGCTGCTCAGCCTGTGGAGGGGCAACTCGGCCACCATGGTGAGGGTCATGCCATACGCTGCTATCCAGTTCTCCTCCCACGAACAGTACAAAAAGGTGCTCGGGGGCCACTACGGCTGTCAGGGAAAGTAAGCTCCACTCCGATGACGTTCACAATAATTTGTTTTATATTTGTCGCTGCAACACTTCTTTGCTTTGTTTCAGAGCTCTTCCACCATTCCCGCGCTTCCTGGCCGGCTCAATGGCTGGGACCACCGCTGCCATGCTGACATACCCGTTGGACATGGTCCGGGCCCGCATGGCCGTTACGGCCAAAGAAATGTAAGCATTTATCGTGTGGATTTTGGCTAATGTTGCTCCATGAGTCGTGACTTAATATCTTTTGGTTTTTTATCGATATCCCCACCCCGCCACCCCAACATAATCGAAAGAGAAATAAAATGTTGCCGACTCAGCTTTTGTACTGTAAGATCAAATCAGTTTGGGTTGAAAATCAAATCTGTCTCATTTGATTTTGACAGGTACTGCAATATCATGCACGTCTTTGTGCGCATTTCCCAAGAGGAAGGTTTTAAAACCCTCTACAGAGGCTTTACCCCTACAATTCTGGGTGTCATCCCCTACGCCGGCATCACATTCTTCACTTATGAGACCCTCAAGAAACTTCACACAGGTACCTGCAGAAGTATCAGGACGCCTGGTCCTTTACGGCTTCCTTCCATAAAGTTGGGAAGGAGGATAGAAGCCAATTTGTGGGTAAAAAGCTTGGTGCAGACCATTTCCAGCTATGTAAAAACTGAAAAATTTAGCCGAAAAACCATCACATGCAGAGCTGTCACACTCCACCTCATCAGGCCCTGCCTCTTATCACACGGACAATTCATACAATATTTTCTATGCATTTATTGCTTTCAATTTTACGTGTGTATATTCAAATACATTTACACTTTGTTTACAAAGTGTGTTTAAAGCGTGTAGTGTATCGTGTAAAACTATTTAAAAAAAATATATATCTTTACATCAGAGTTACCTAAATTTGTTCTCCGAGGTTCGCATGCAGAAGAATTAAAGAAGCAAGGGCCACAAAAAAAAATAGTAAGAGAATAAGAATAAAAAGCACTCAACAACATGCTGTTGTAATATATATCAAAATCACCATGAAGTCATTTTATGGCGGCTTCTGGTGTATGCGCTTGGGCCAACAGGGGGCAGTATAATATGCATATCGATAGAAACAAAGAAGACAGTCACAACTGCCAAGTAAGTCTCAGGAATATTGGTTGTTTTTTGCAGAGGATAAAGAATATATGTCTGGGAATTTTGTTATATTATCTTTATTTTCATATATGGAGTTCCAGAAGGTATCCTCTGTGATGAATGGAAGTTCACCGCACCCTGCTCACCCAACCATCTTTTCTTTCCGCTTCTTCTAGAAAAGACAAAACGAGCTCAGCCGTACACCGTGGAGCGCTTGGCTTTCGGCGCGTGCGCGGGTCTGATCGGACAGTCGGCATCGTACCCTCTGGACGTGGTCCGTCGGCGCATGCAGACGGCCGGCGTCACCGGCTCCGCCTACAACACTATTTTGGGCACCATGCGCGAAATTGTGCGCCACGAGGGCGTCGTGCGCGGACTCTACAAAGGCCTGAGCATGAACTGGCTCAAGGGGCCCGTCGCCGTGGGCATCAGCTTCACCACCTTCGATATCACGCACAGCCTGCTCCTCAAAGTGCACCAGATGGGCTTCTTCACCCACTGACTGGCACAGTTTGGACCAATGGAGTTCAAAAGCAGACTTTAAAAAAAATAATGACCGGAGGAAAATAATGACTATTAAGAACAAACCTGTTCCAAAAAAAAAAAAATGACCGGAGGACAATAATGACTATTAAGAACAAACCTGTTCTATGTTTGCACTACTGGATATTTTTTCAAGATAATCTGAAGACTGCCTCGGTTAGCTTTGATTACAATACAGATTTACATGGGTTGTGACCATACTTGGGACTGATATGTCGTCAGGCTCCACAATTTTGAAAAATAATCAAATTGCATTTCGCCACCCCCCCCCCCTTCAAGAATACAATTGCGATTTAAAACAATTATTCAATCAAGGTCCACTTCCCATGTATTTTTTATTTTTATTTTTTTACTTTACACAAAACAAGAAATTAATCTGCATTACTGGTACTATAAACATAAATATCAGATTTGTTATACCTGTACATAAATGATTTGGTCTACAAATTAGCCTTACGCTAAAATAAAAGTGAATGAACCATGAATGTATTTGAAAAAGTTTATATACTTCAACTCAAGTTTTTAACTCACCAAGCGCTTTCACTTGTGGTCTTTTCAGCATTCAAGAACAAGTTATACCAACTTCTTTATCATTTCAATTTTTCATATTTCATGAAACAATGGCATGTAAATAAATGGACTGTGCTGCACTGAACTAATGAGACTCTCTATGACTGAGATAAGTGGGATTTTTTTTTTCTTCCCAAATTGCAGCTTTAGTGATTTG